TCTCTTTGGTGTGGTCAGCAGCTCGGTATATTACACAGCAGCAGCATGCAGATTGCAGTATGTTGTTATGAGAAATTCGAGCTGGATGGGCTTGGATCATTTGCCATGGCAATTGGTTCATCGGGCTTTCAAGTTCTAAAGGTCCATTCTTAGTTGGCATTATGGAATTAAAGAATGTCGATGTCACAAAGGAAAATAAGATTCAAAGTAAACTTTTTTACGGTTTCTTACCACACGTCCTTTTGAAATATTTTTGTGAGGTTTTGGGCCAGCCAGTGGGTGCACAGCAGGTGTGAGTGACACCCGTCTGCTTGCCTGGTAAAGCTCTCTTTTTTTTACCATGGCTCCTCCCAGCCACGAGGTTTCCAGGGGAAGCGGGAGAGGGGGCACTGCTGCCCAGCAGTGACAAGGACAGTGGATCGCTCATGTGTTTTTCTTTTGCAGGGCCGCATAACTGTTATGTAATTTAGCATCTGTTGGCAGCCCAGGCGGGACAGGCTCAGCAGACAATGCAAGCTGTACATCTCTGTGCTCTTCTTTCTGCCTCGACACAGCAAGGAATGTGTGTGTTCTTACTGGAATTCCACCATGCTGAGCGGCTGCATTCCCTTTTCCAGCGAAAGGAGCACAAATCGTCTGAGCAGGATTTTGGCAACGAGCAGCTGCAATGGTGTGGCCAGAGGCATCGACAGGGAAGCAGCGGCCAGGGATTTGCTGGAATGGATGGCAAGCAAGGGTGTGGCAGAGCCTGGAGGTGTGGAGGTGAGGCATGGGGAGCTGTTTGCCAAGTGCAGCATGGACCCGGCTCAAATCTCCTTTGTTGTTTGATGGATGTTTCCTATTTTTGATCAAGCAGGGGATTTGCTTTCATCACGTACAAAAGTGTTGAGGCCCCAAGGAAAGCCATCGATGATCCCAACAAGACAATAGGGGTAAGTTATCCAAACATACCGTGGTTTTTATTAACGAGTCTATTCTTCTAGGGAATGCATTGTCAAGACGCCTAACAAGATCAAGATTGGAAAATGTAGAAGACAAAGAGAAAAGCTAGTGAAAACAAGGAAGAGGCCTTAGACTGGCATTGATTCAGATTGTGGAAAAATGAAACAAGGCTAACCTATATATACTATAGGTTGATGAAACTCCACCACTCTTGGATCGAAGATGGCCTAAATATAACTAAGGTCAAGGAGGCACCACGTCATCATCAAGAATGTGGTTTGAGATTTAAGAATTGTATGGGAAATTAAAGAGTCAAGAATAGGGAAGTGTCTTGAGAGTCAAGAATAGGGAAGTGTCTCGAGAATCAAGAATATGATCTACGGGTCAAGAATCTGGCAAAACTCAGGAATGTGGCAAGAATTGGGGATTTCTAATAGCACCCCCTCCTCAAGAACGAGTGGAATGAGGATGTGAATGAGAACGAAGAGGAGGATGAGATGGGCGGCAATAATCCTGTCACTTATCGCTTTGCACTTCCTTTCTCATATTAAATTCACCTTGTTTTTCACTCCTCTCTCCTTGAGCCTTATATTCCCAATCCTATTCCAAATTGGGTCATTCTTCTACCTCCACCAGTGCAGCTCGAGGATGGGTCTGAGTACGAGGTTCGGGACATCTTTGATTCCAAGATCTCACAGTCTAAACTCTACTATCTGGTAAACTGGAAGGGTTATGGACCTGAGGAATGCACTTGGGAACCTGCGGACAATCTAATTCATTGTCCTGGATGGCAGTGATAGGGAAAGGACTAAGGCATTTGAAATCGAGTTTGAGACATGGCCTGGTGGTGGAGATATTTCGCCTGAGGAGCTAAACTTTATCCTCGATATTGTAAGGGGGACAATCCTGATGATGGACATTGGCAAATGTTTTGTGAGATTCCTGAGCACAATGGAGGTGGAAGGAAATGGAGTTATGGATTTCCTGGAGGTTGGAGACAAATGCCTCAAAGTGGGGATTTGAACGAGAGGATTTGGATGGAGAAGGAAGTGAGAGATTGAATCGGGGATTTCAGCCAGAGTTTGCAAAGAAGGGGAAAACTTGAAGGGAGGAGTGAACAGAGTTGTTATAGGAGAACTCAGCAAGGGGAAGGATATTGAACCAATCATCATAATGATAGTTGATGAAACACCTCAGGAATTGTTCCAATGTGTGAATCGTATGCTCGGACTGTCCATCAGTTTGAGGATGATACGCCGAAGAAAGGTTGGCCTTCACTCCAAGCAGCTGCAAGAACCGTTGCCAGAAATGAGAGATGAACTGAGGTCCCCGATCCGAAACCACATCTGCAGGAATCCCATGAAGTTGGAAAATTTCCCTGAATACCAGTTTTGCCATGTCCTCACCCGAAAACTCCTTGGTACATGGCAGGAAGTGCATCATCTTTGTGAAGCAATCCATCACGACTAAAATGCTGTTGAAGCCTCTAGAACTCAGAAGATCACTCAAGAAATCCATGGAGATGGATTCCTAAGGACTTGAAGGGACTAGGAGGGAACGAAGTAAACCGGAACGAAGGTACCTTATTCCGGGCGCAAGTGTCACAAGAGGTAACAAAAGCTTTGATGTAGTCGTTCATGTGAGGTTTTCGCAATGCCGAAGTGACCAGCAGTCTGGCAATCGTGGCACGCTATCAGGACCAACCTTCAAGCATCACCTTCGGGAACGTAAAGCTACTCCCCACTATACAACAAGCCATCTAAGAACTCAAACTCGTCAAATCGCTAGCAGTCAGGAGTCACTGCGTGTCCAGCCTGAAGATGGGGGAAAATGTCGCTGGCGAGGTCGTTGGATTGAAGATTGTTTCTAATCGCATCCATCAAGGAGGAGTCCTGAGGGGCCAGGGAAATTGCCATAACTTGAAGCCGATCAGGACCAAGGATAACCTGATCCTGTTGATTGAAGGCAGGATTACCAAGCCTAAGATTGAGATAGGAGCACCTTGAAAGAGCATTAGGAAGGCCTTGAAGCTTTCCAGGTCTGTACTTGTTAACAAAGTCAAACCGACTCAAGAATTGTGCCCACCTTGCCTGACGACAGCTCAAAACTCGGGAAGTGGCAAAGTACTCGAGATTTTTGTGATTCGTCCAGACCGTTGTTTGATAGCTCACCCCCTCCAAGAAACGACGCCACTCTCCAAAGGAGTCCATGATGGCAAGGAGCTCCTTGTCGTGGATTTTGTAATTGATCTCCACATGTTGGAATTTCCGAAAATGGAAAGCGACCGGATGAAATTCCTGATCTGCTCCAAGTTGAGACAGCACAACACCGATAGCAAAGTTGGAGGTGTTTGCCTCGATGAAGAAAGGTTGTGAGGGATTAGCGTGGATCAAGAAGGGAGCAGAATTGAAGGCCGCTTTAAGTGTGTCGAAGGCTTGCTGGGTAGTAGTAGACCAAAAGAAGGGAACATCCTTGCTAGTGAGATGCGTGAGAGGAAGGACAATGTCAAAGTGGTGATCAATGAATTTGCGGTAGAAGTTGGTGAAGCCAAGGAAAACCTGAATGTCCGACATTGATTGTGGAGGCTCCCATTCGAGAATAGTCTTGACTTTGGTAGGATTCATTGTGATACTTGTGAGACACAAAATCCCTAGGCCCCAAAG